GGGGGGGGGGGAGGATGGTCTCAAGGGGCCCACCTGCCAGAAGGTTCCTCTCTGTCCTTAAAGGTCATGGCTATGCTTAGTCATGGGTGGCCAGGCTAGGGGCGTTCACCTGGGATGGGAAAGGTAATAGTCACTGTCTCACACACCTCCTCCTGAAGTTTTGACTGTTGCTTCTTCTGGCCATTGGACGCTGCATAGAGAGGACCTGGCACACAGCTCACCACCACAGGGGCACCCCCAGGACACCTGGTGGTGTCGTTGGCACGATAGAACTCCAGGGAGCAGAGGGAGAGGTGGGCCTCCGTACCCACACACGCCACCCCATGCAGACCAAAGGAGTGTTGCTGCCGCTGGGCCAGCAGCCTGTGGGGACAGGAGTGGGGAGCAGTAGGGTAAAAGTGAAACAGCGCTCCTGCCTCTGGTCACAGCCCTCCCCCCATTCCATGCCACCACCATCCCCTAACTTTTCATGACCACTTTATTCCTTTTCTCCTCTGCTACGCTGCCCTCCAAAGAGACAAAGGGAATGGTGAGTTTCCAGGCTGAAAGAGCCTAGGTTACCCAGACAGCAGGGTCTTTGGGGACCTTCTGCAGCAGAAGAACCCTATGGGAAGGCGGCCAGTCTTAACTTGCCTGACAAACCTCGTTCCAAATGGTTTCAGGCTGCTGAGCCTAACGGAGGCTGAGGCTGAGGCTGCTGTGCAGAGAATGGGAAGCTTGGACTGCCCAGTGGGGAGAGCTGGGCAGGAGGGGCAGCCGACATGGACAGGAAGCCTGAATAGCCGGAGTGAGCAGATCCTTTTACTGTGCTGAGACTGGAATAACTGAATGAGTCAAGATGCAAATGAGTGAGTGAGTCTTGGGTCTAAATGGCTCCGTAGAAGCAGAGGCTCTGCAGGCCAGAATATGACAGGCAGTTATGGGAAGAACAGATCAGATGGTGGACACACGGAAGACTGGGGCTGGCATATGTAGGGATGATAATGTATAAATGCAAGACAGAGAAAAGTTAGAGGGACCACACGGCCAGAGAAGGACAGTGAACATGAACAACAATGGTAAAGACATCTCCAGACCTGAGCCGAACTGTGAGTCTTTAACGAGGCAGTCTGTGCTTCTGCAATTTAAACCTAACAGGAAGAATGTTCTGTAGCCACCTGAACAGGAAAATGGGACCAAACTAGAGGTGTTAAAATTTGGAATCACTGTGGAGAGATGCTTGAGAGAACGAGAGGACTTGTTTATTGACACCAATGGAATGAGAGATTGCAG